TATATATATATATATATATATATATATATATATAGTTAGTTAGTTAGTTAGTTCATATTCAGATCAATCATTAACTTAAAAGTATTTTAAAAAATTAAATTTGTCAAACGAGCTCAAAAGCAGTCGAAAATTTTATAAAATCTTTTTTGATTTATTATACTTATTAACTCTCACGTTTGGTAACTTTTTTATTCTGTTGACTTTAAAATATGTACTGTTTTTTGTTATCATCGCGTTCTTCAAAAAAAACTTGCTGAACAAACTGAGCAAACCGGTGGTGCGCTACAAACTAATTTTCTGCCTCAGTTCAAGTAATCCGATGCTGCTCGGCGATGATTACAGAAATATGTAAATGAAGTGTAATTCCAAAAGAAGGTAGAAAATGCTTGGTCACAACTGCTGTAAACGGTACTGAAAGAAAGCATAAGCAGAGAAGAAGAAAGAGATGAAATTGAAGAAAAGAAAAGTATCAGTATGACACAATAAAATTCAAGAAAAAAAACTACAGTGAGAAGACTAAAATAAAGCAAAATTTTTTGGCGTCTTGAAGTAGACACTTTTTTTCAATTTGCAGCACAAGGTGTGAGTACCAGACAACGACTAATCACGCATTAAGCTACTTTTTTTTTAATACGAATCAGGAAAGAATCTTTGGAATGACTTGCTAGCTCAATTTCTGCGATCGTTTATTTCCTCGTACAGTAGTTAGACTACTACTTAAAAAAGAGACCCCAGGTTAAGTGACTTGCTTATCTTATTTCTGTGAATACTTTTTGAATAAATCTATCTTTTTAAAAAAGTATACTTATTTTTGGCAAAAAAACTTATTCTATAAAAAATACTGAGTTGCCGATACTATTCTTTTCAGTAAAGTTTATTAAATTTCCAGCTATTGTTCTTAATCACAAGTGTAAAAAGAAAAATAATGCTGTCAGTTCAGGAATATAGAAGCTCTTCATTGGACATCATTGATGACACCAGATCATCAATCGTTTCGTTTCGTTTAATCGTTTCATCTCAAGAAGAGGACGCCCTGAAAGCATGGTATCCGACAAAGGATCGCAGTTTATTATTGCGGCAGAATGTTTACAGCTTAAATGGGAATTCATTGCTTCACACTCTCCGTGGAAAAAGGTGTGTACGAAAAGTTGGTCCAGATCTTTAAATCAATCCTCAAAAAGTTAGCAGATAAAAGCTTGTTAATTGCCGCAGAATTTAAAGTTTTAATTCATTGAATTGAAGCAATTTTGAATCCGCTTCCAATAACCACCGTCTCTGATGATTTGGCCGACGTTCTTAGACCGATTGATTTTTTGGTTTCTCAAATAAAATTAGAAAGAACTGAACAAAATTTCTATTTTTTGAAAACAGAAAATAAGGGTTTAGTGAAAGAGTTGCGCTTGAGGTACAAATTGACAGAAGCATATCTTGACCGATTTTGGCAAGTTTGGAGGAACCAGTATTTGAAATGCCATTTGGAACGTTATCAGAGGGAACATAAACAAGGAAAATCAGTGTCCCGTAAAGAACCAAAATTGGGGAAAATAGTTATACTGTTTGATGAGGATACTCATCGAGCACATTGGAAGCTGGGAAGGATAGAGGAATTAATCAAAGGTAGACAGGAAAGGGTAAGAACAGCTATACTAAGATTACAGACTGACGTTAAAGTAGAGCGGCCAAAAAGTCATTTGTATGCACTAGAGGTTGGGTCGGAAGAGCTGCAAAAGTATTTCAACGCGGTTATAACAGACGATAAAATTGAGGATAACATGACTTTAGGGAGGATAAAGAATATAGACCAGCTCAAGAAACAAGTCGTCCAGTTCACAGAAGACAGTCCAGAAAAAGGGGAAGGAAAATAACGACACGTATCATATTCGTTATATCGAAGGAACAATTATTACAAGAGGAGACATACACGAACATGGAAGGGCCATAGAGGGAAGCGAGGCAGCAGAAAACAGTTCAGACGGTGCAAGCTGCGAGCACTGTAAACTGTTGTCCAAGTTGCAGTAAAGGCAGTATTATAGTCTCCATATGAAGAACCGTTCCGTTCCACAAGAGTGTCGCACAATGTGCGAAAGAAACAACATTTTGGGTGGACTAGATACGCGGAAGGTAAAATGAAAGGGAGTGCACGGCAAAATGATAAATACATTGATTATCACAAAAGGCAAAACAACCGTTGTTGAAGGCTTTCTCAAGAGATAGAGTGTAAAAGTTGAGTTTATTAGCTGATGTCAGCATTATTTTTCTTTCAGTTGTTCCACAGTAGCCATGCCTTGTTAAGTTTCCTTTGTTTTGTGTTTCCATTTAACTCAAAATATAGATATTATTTTGATTTAATAAATCGTAGTATTTCGTTTCTAAATTTCTTCAAGTTTTCAAATTTCGTTTCTCTTGCGGGATTTTTGCGCATTCCTTCTTTATAAATTCTTCACAACTATTGGATATTCTTACACTGTTAAGATTTAGTGTCATAATTTGTTTGAAAATTTTCAAGTTAAAATTTTCTATCACTTTCAAAGCACATTGGTTCAGTGAGTGAACGAAGCTTTAACAATACTCCCCCCCCCCCCCCCCCCCCCCCCCCCCCCCCCCC